ACTGCGTCTGCAGCAATTTGTGCATATATAGCAGGATCATATTCAATTTGTTGCCGTTGACCCTCATAAGGTCCTTTTCCTAACAACATATATAGATTTCTTTGAGGGTAACCGGCTGCTGCATTTCGCCTAGCTGTCTCCGTGCAAAATTCCTCATTGGCAACCTTCCATAACAAATATTGTCCTCCATTTAGTACAGATTTACACATGCTAGCCCAATCTGCTGGCGTCATGTCCAAGTTAGTAATGGACTCAACCATGCTTACCGTGAAGGGAGCTTGGGGACCATAGGTTGTTACAGCCTCCTTTAACTGCTTCACTGTTTTAAAATCTAAAGCACGGTGAATTCGCTGCCCTCCTGCCTGTTCAAGTACAGGGCATGCTAATCTTTGAGGTCCTGTCTCAGGATCCCATTTATCAACTACGGGGTTTGAGGGCCACTCAGCTGTCTCCATCGGTGGGGCTGTTGGTTGAATTACGCCCTCTTGTGATAAAATGGAGTTAGTAACAGCCTCCTGTTGTGGCCTTTTTCCTAACAACCCCTTTTCCTTTAAATTTTCTTCCTCTGTCTGACTAGCTCGAGAGACCTTCTCTTTTGCTTGATCTAAAATGTCTTTCTCCATGGTCTGAACCTCTAACAATTTACTTAACATCTTTTCGGTTTGTTTTTTACTAATTTCTAATCTACTATAAAGATAACGCAACCCAATAAGATAGCACAAAACAAAGCCGAAACTGAATGAAACAAAAACGGAATAAAAAATCGTTGTATCAATTTTCTCTTCCTCAGGGCCGACAAACTTCAAACCTTTAGTCAACCATTTTTTCCAGTTTGCCTGAGAAATTTCTAGGGATAGGCAGCTTGAAACAAAAACAAGATAAATCAAAACAATAACACATTGTTTTTTGAGTTGGTCACCCATTCTTTCGCTCTTCCTCAGGGGTGAGCAATTTCACTTACCTCTAAGCTTCAGAAGTTCCCCGTACGAGCCGCCAAATGCCGCAGTCTGGCTGGGCACAAATGCCGCAGTCTGGCTGGGCACACAATCACGAGCCACCACACAGCTTGTAGATTCAAACAGCAACTCTTTATTCCCGAACTCACACCAGCCGTCTACAATCACGTTCTGGGGAAATCCACGTTCTCTTCCCAAATCCACCTTCTCTCCCAAATTCACCTCCACTGGGCTTCTATCTCCAAAATATACTGTCTGAATCCCGTGAGAACTCAAGGGGAACTCAGGCAGCAGGATACGCCCTATTCCCAGCAGGAATAATCTTAAACCTTAAACCTGGAACCTAAACTGGGAACGCCCTAAACAAGATTATCTTAAAACCGGGAACACCCTAATCTGCCTTGGTCCTTGAGCAAGGTCACTTACATTCAATGTCACTGCAACATGTCAGCAACATGGGGTACGCTGGCAAGGAAATTGTCATACCTACTTGGCTAATGGCTCCCAGCATATATGTATACACACACACACACACATATACAAATATATATATTTGTACCAAGGGCTTTGAACTCGTGATCCTCCTGCTTCAGCCTTCTGAGGCAGCGAATCACTGGGATTACAGGTGTGCACCACTGTGCCTGGCTCATTATTTCTTCTAATGCACTAAGTATCTCTTTATCAAATCTTCTTCTAAACTAACCCATTGAGTATATTATCCACTGTGTTTACGTACCACATTTTCTTTGTCCATTCATCTGTTGAAGGGCACCTAGGTTGGTTCCATAGATTAGCTATTGTGAATTGAGCTGCTGTAAACATTGATGTGTCTGTAGTATGCTGATTTTAATTCCTTTGGATATACACCAAGATATAGGATAACTGAGTCACGCTTATATGCCCCTAACCTAACTATACCTAGTCAGATGTAAACTTCTTTTTATTTAATTTGGATAATTTATATTTCTTCCCAATTAAACAATTTCTTAACATTTTCTTCTGTATTTTATGTATTTGCAGTTATTTCTTGATTGGACTTGTTAGGAGGTTGTATATTTTATGGTTTTACTGTTGTGCTGCTAAAATTCTGTTTCATAGTTTTATTCCATCTATACCTCCTTTAAATTGTATTATATTAGTTAGTTTCTCCTTTAATCTATGCTGTTTGTTCCCCTTGCTCTCTTATGTTTGTGCACTTTTTTCCTAATTTTTTCAGTTCTGTGCATATTTCATTGAAGGCTGTAATGCATGCAAGAACAAATTGACCCTCAATCTCCTGAGTTGTGATACACAATGATCTGATCTCATCATTGGCATTTTTCTAAGTCTTCAATATTTGAAGTTTTAAGTTTCTTCTCTGGTCAGAAACTTCTCTGGTCAAAGAGTTATTGAAGATAACAATCTTATTTCACTTTTCATTTACTTATGATTTTAATAAACATTTTTAAATTAATAACTCATTTATTTTCTCTGGTTAGAACACATGATCTACTCAGTTTCTACTTTGTGGAATTCACAAAACTCTGATCAAATTTAAAGATCATCTGAAAATCCTATGTATTGAGCCTTTTCTTTCTTACTACCCATATAACCAAGATAGTCTAAATGCTTTTTAAAAACAATCAGTAATGTTCATGGTTTGACTGAAACGATCAAGTTCATTTCCTGTTACTACGCAAGTCCAATGTGCAGGGTCCTGGGATCCAGCCTTGCTTGCTTCCCTTGGGAACAACAAGGAGCCGGTTTATAAATGGTGTCTGTCTGCAGCAAAATGAGGAGGCTGTGGCAGAACACAGGCCAACAGCTTTGCAGGCCTAGAGGGATGGGTGCACAGCGAGGCTCCTGTTCAGGGATGCAGTGCCAGCCTGGGTGCCCAAGTTCTTCACTCTGCTGCTTCATCCCGTGGGTAGACCAGGGCCAAGAGGCAGCAGAGAGTTGTCAGGAGGGTGGTTTCAGTGGCCGCCAGCCTGAAGCGTGGCGTGTGTCATCCTGTCCACTTGTCATTGGTCAGAGCTTGTGTGACCGCCCAGGGGAGGCTGGGTGTCCTCTTGGACAAAGGCTGGTTTTCATGAGCCCAGCAGCAGGCCCAGACTTCTCCGTCTTCCGTATGTATCACAGGAATATCTGCAGCACTCACTCTGAAATCAAACTAGGCGTACACATGCTGTAAAAATATTTCTTTATGCCCAAGAAATAAGGATGAAATACAGTCGATGCTTATTTTTAGTATTTTATTCTATTTTTCTCATCTAAATCATCTAAATCAGGAACCTGTTTGCTCGGTTTACTTGCAAACTTTACTTTTTAAAAGACACTCTTAAGTTCTCTAGCAACAGTGAATGACCGTGCTGGGTCCCTCGACCTGTCTGGAAGGTCCCTGTTCCGAGCACTAGTCCCACTGATGCTGCTGGTTTATACACACATGAGGTAGGAAGTGTGGCCAATATTCTCTCAAAGTTGCCAACTTGTCAGAGGCTTCTGAGCAGCAACAGGGATTTTTAAAATTTAATTTCATTCCAATTTTTATTTGTAGCCCTGTTCAATGTAAGATTGTGTAGTTAATAGTAAATTTTTAAGCATTTGGGTTAACAATAAGGTTTCTTGATTTTTCTGGAAGATAGTATTTCTTTTGCTCATTTAAATATAGGGTTTACTTTTCCCCTTGTAATGGCCCAGCATGAGCCTTGCACAGCAATTTGAAGTAATATCCTTTTCCATTCCTGTCGCCTAACAGCCACTTCAGGTATCTGCAAGCCCATATGTGCAGGATCTCTGTGGTGACTTAGCTTATTTTATTTCTCAGTTCAGTTCAAGCAATTGTATGGGTGACTTAAATTGATTTTATATTTTGAAACGTTATTGCAATCATTTATCTAACCTGCTTTATTGTAATGTAGTGCATTTTAAGTTGATGTGCAATGTGTGAGTAGCTTTTCCAATAATGCAAGTTTCTGATTTGCAGCAGATATAGTGGTGGCAAAGCCCAGACTTGGCTTCTAGAAGACGCAGTGAAGCTCACATACTTAGAATTTCAGAAAACCATAAGAAAGACAAAGTGATCATTCCATAGCAATCTAACACCCACATATGGATGATTTGTATTACATTTTCTAAGGTGTGGATGGATCATTTCTATTAATTTCCCCCCCAAACCTGAAGATCTATATTTGGATGCCATTCACTCTTTCTTTTCTGTTGTTATTCATTAATCCTAACACCAGAAATCTTTAGGCTTTGAATATCCCATTACACCTATCTGATCATATCAGTCCTGTTATTTTGAGGCAGTCAGGACTTTTTCAAAGTTATTACAAGTCCTCGTTTTTCACTGGACTTCACGTGTCCCTCTTGTATGACCGATGTGTTTTACTACTGTGCATTTTTTAGGTGTAGCAGTGAGAGATCACTCAGTATCAGCTTGGGTTCATTTCCCCCGGGTTGAGAATCCCAAGCCTTGCAGCCCTCCTCCCTGAAGATCAGCACTTCCTGAGCAGTATGGTCCCGGGCAACCTTGCTTTTGATGCATCACTTCAGAAACCTGGTTCAGGGTCAATTCCTGAGCATGGCTGGTTCTTGGCGTGAAGAGTATAAGAAACATAATAATAAATATGTATGTATATGTTTGAGCATATTCCTATCCAGGCATGTGCTAGTAGTGTAAGAGTTTTATATTGCAATGTAAAATCATAACCTTCAACATAAACCAACTTACTCTTTACTTGAAACTCATTTTTGTGCTCAGATCTGCCTCATCTTACTATAAACATCCATTCACAACAAAAAGCAATTTTTTAAAAATGCCATCGTGGGCATAAGGAACACCCAGAGTGTGTGGAATCAACCTTCACAGCCCTAATGGATGACGATGAGAACCCACACCAGAAAGAAGTGTTCCTTTGTCACCTGAAGAGGCTCTTTCTGCAGGAAGAAGAATTGCTAGATGCTCTCAGAAACACCAGGATTGGTGAGCAGCACACAGGGCGTTTTGTCAGTATGACCTGAATAATTATAAGGGTTGACTTGGGGCTGATTTGACATGAGGTTCACCCATTCATAATTCTAAATAAAAAGGATCCACTCTGTGTAAACATAATAACCTAATTGAACAGAGAATGGGGTGGGCAACTGGTCTATGGCCCCCTCTAAGTTTCTAACTTGACCTTTTAAAAAATTCTGCCTCCTTAAAGTTAGTACTGGCATATTGATAAATAATTTTGTGATTCTGAGACCAAAACACAAACAAAAACAAAACTGGCTTAAGTCTTCTCAATTATAAGTCATCAGATCCTTTTGACACTAGCAGGCTGTTCATAGGAGAGAGAACTGTGATTTTGCTGTGTTGTGTGAGGAAGAGACATTTATCACTGAATCTCTGCAACCATTTGGTATTGGAAAGCCTCATCAATCTTGAGCGTACGCGGTTGACATTTTGTTTTACTGCTTTTTTCCACATATTACAAGAATAAACAATTTATAAGTAACACGAGTACAGTGGATTCAATCTAAGTCACACACATTCTGAAGGCAGAGCTCCCCAATGCCATTTTACAAACTGCTGAACAGTAAGTGTTTATTACCTTTTTGTGCCTATAAGGAAACCCGATGTACACAAAGCTCAAAAGCCTTCAGGTGCAGACTTGAAGGTTTATTAAGTGGGGAAAAACCAATTGCATTTTCTCTTTTCTAAGGGAGATTTTACCTAGTGCTCTGGACATCATTAACTTCCTCTTAACTTATGAATTGCTCTATTTGTGAAAAATTACCCTGGACCAAATATGAAAGTTAGCATTTGATATGAGAGGCCAGAAGGTTTCAGTCTCATTAGTTTTGTTTCTCTATTACTTGGTAGAATATGTGTTCATTCAATATATTTTAATGACTCACCAACTGGATGGGAAGCCCTTGGTTGTGGCAGGTGTGTTCCAGAATGCCAAGATGGATCAAGGATGGCCGCTGTTCTGGAAAGGCTTAGTTCCAGGATAGACCATAATCAAGACATCCCAAACTATTAAATTAGCAAACCTGATTGTATGTGGGTGTCTTGGCTTTGTTACACTTGTGAAGAGAAGAAAGCTTACTCTTAAATCGGGCTGCTTAACTCTGAAGGAGAGACTCCCACGTACAGAGTGGGCCATTAACTATAAATAAGATAGGCAAGCAACTCTGAAGCCAATTAGGAGGTGAGTTAACAGCCGTGTTTTTGCAAACATGCCAACTTTCCAGAGAAAATCATTCAATCTCTGAAGATTTTCTAACGTTCCAGGGCTTTTATGCAAGGTTTTTTTAAACAAAGATTCAGAATTTATTGTAGTATTTTTATGATTCTCTTACTTGGAAATGCTTCTCTGTGCTGGGGAATGTGTAAGATGTGATTATACATTTTGAGAGCAATTACAGCCCTCCGCCTCTCGTCAGGGAGAGCCTTCCAGACAGAAGTGGAAACAGTCTAGTCTCTGTGGGAGACAAGGATGTTCATCTTTGATTGATGGGTTGGCATCCATGACACCTGGAATCCAAACAGTTGGAGTCATACCTTAGGAAATGCTTCAAGGACACAAGGAAGCACCCTCCGGGCAACACAGATGCTAACAGAGATGGTGCATCCAGGATGGGCCCTGTGAGTGGAGGAAGAAGCTGACCTCAAATAGAAACCAGAGGGCCAGATGAGGGAGGACAGGCAGCAGCCCGGCAGCCGCACTTGCTCCTGTACGCTCTGGCGATGCGCCCTCTGCCTGTCCTTGGGGTCTCTCTGGCTGGCTCCTTTTAGTCTGAGAATGGGGCTTCCGTCCCCCCTCACCTGGGCTCCTGCTAACTGACCGAAGCATCTCCAAAGTCTCCTTATTCATCTTTTCTTCCTCTTGCTGCTCTTTCCTTTTCTTTTTTTCTAGAGGATGAGCCCTCTGTTTCCAAAGTTTACTAAAAAAAAAAAGTTTAATTAAAAAAAACATCTATTTGGTACATTTAATTTGGTAAATTTCTGGATATCTTTCTGGACACTGGTGTTTATGATGGTGATGGTTTAGTCTTTTGAGACTCATAAGGGAGAGGATCTGCTACAGAGAGCCCACGTGGCACCGTTGTCATGACAGGAATTTCAAGGAAATAGAGGTCACGGCTAGTGGCTCATCAAGTTGTATGTGCAGGAAGCTTTTCTGGGGCTCAAATTGTTTGTATGTAAAGTGCAGCCGAAACTACATTATGACAGTGGACATTTACCTCCCTGAGAGCTGAGATTCTGAAATGACCACTTATGAGGAAATTGATTTATGTGTATATTTTTTAAAGTTCCTTCAATATGTTTTCAGAATGATGCTCTGATGTAGACTGGACGTGTGTTTCCAATCCTCAAAGGAGATTTGTATCAAAACAACAACAACAAAAAGCATTTAATCCTACTCATGATGGTTACTGAGGAGACAGAAAGATAGAGGGATATTGTTTATGTCTTTCAGCTAAGCTATTGATTTGGAGGCAGAAGAAAAAGCTTAAAGCACTTGTCTTCAAAAAGCAGAGACAGAGAGGTGTCCAGGTGGTGATAAGCTGTGTTCTTCCTAAAAGGCACCAGCAAACAGACACCATACAGCCAAGACCTCTAGTTCATGGGTAAATTTCCTCTTTGGAAGCAACTCGATGTTAAATGTTCCTAAATGGTGAAGCATAGTAAGTGGTTAAATACTAGTGAAAAGTGAAAAGACTTCCCAAGCTCCGGCTACACAAAGCCCAATTTATTTGTTCAGACTGTTATTAATTAACACCTGTTTATGTTTATGGCTGAGGCATTGGGGACTCAATAATAAACATAACAATAGTATTTCTTCTCTGTAAGGAAAGAGAAAGAATCAAATTACAACTGATTCTAAGAAGAGGAATTCATAAAGAACACCTACTTCTGCTTCGAGGGGCGGAGAGGAGGCTTGTGCCTTGGCAGTGGGTTGCAGTAAGATGCAGCTGAAACTCCTCTAAGCCAGGAAATGGAGCTGCCTGGTGCCATTCAGAGAGACCTTGCTGGGAATCCCACTTTACACATCCTAAGAAATAGAAATAGTTTTACTGCAGAGACACCTGCATTCACATATTCACAACAGCCAAGATCTGATCAGCGTGGGTGTCCATCAACAGATGAATGGAAAAAGGAAATGTGGTACGTATACACAATGGAGTTTTCCTCAGCCATAAAGAAGAATGAAATTCTGTCACTTTCATCCTCAGGGATGGAACTAGAGGTCAATGTGTTAAGTGAAATAAGTCAGGCACAGAAAGATGACATTGCACATCCCCACTTGTAGTGGACACTAAGACATTTGCAAAGAGTTGAATAGGATAGTGGTCACACAGCCTGGGGGCAGCGTGGAGAAAGGAGGGGTGGAGAGGACTGGCAATGCAAACAGGGGTGAAGTGGGGTGGGAGGAATAATTGCTAACCTTCTGTATCACAGCAGGGTAACTGTGGTTGGTAACAGTTAAATACCGCAAAATAGCTATTAGAGAGAATCTTGAAAGTTCCTGGCACAAAGAAATGATCGATGCCCAAGGCGATGGATGCCAGTTACCCCATCTGATCCTTGCGTATTACATACATCCACTGTAATATCACATTGAGCCCCCATATATGTTCAGCTATGTGTCAATTAAAATTTTCTTGTTGGTTGCAATGTGGATAATAGATCAGAGGATGATGAGAGAGAAAGTCAGCTATCTTCTGTAGTTTTTCAGATCCTTGATGGTAAAAGTCTAGAGTACTCATAGTAGATATGGAGGGGGATGAAGAGATTCAAGGACAATTAACTTTTGTGAATTAGGTAGCTGTGAGCAGTGAGGGAAAGAGACATAGGAATGATATTCAGATCTTAGGCCCTAGAGTAGATAGTCAATTAAGGAAATTCAGTAAGCAGCTGGATCTATAATCGGACAGCATGAACACAGATGACAGACGTCCTTGGGGTGATGGTGCTACACTGCTTGACCAAAAGTGGTGTCCTGGAGAGCACAGCAGGTCATCTGGTGGTTACTAAAAAGAAGAGCACAAATAAAAAGTAATCTCTTGAGCTTTAAAACTAGCTTTCACTTTTTTCAGTCTCCAATAAAATATTTCATGAGCAAATTTACTTATTTATATAAATTTATTTACATACGTGCTATTTAAAATAACTTAAAAACTATAAAAATTACTAACTTGACTGTGTGTATACCCTGGAAGGGAGTATAAGTTACATCAAAGTACACATATCTCTAATTACTTTTTCCATTTTTATTTACTTAAACTTAACATTTTTAAACAATGCATTCTGTCAACCCGAGATGATTTGATTATAACAGGAATTTTTAAGATACCAAATATTCATTTGGAAACCACTTACAGGTTTTGCATGTTGTTGCATGTCTTTAATCCCCTCTACTCAGGAGGCTGAAGCAGAGGGACTTCAAGTTCAAGCTCAGCCTGGGCAACTTAGTTAGACTCTGCCTCAAAAATTTTTATAAAGGGCTGGGTATGTGGCTGAGCAGTATAGGGCCCCTGGGTTCAATCCCCATATGGGGCAGGGTGTTAAGCATTTGGAGTCTCCACTAACAGGCCCTCTGGGTCCCACAGTAACTAGATGTAAGCAGTTCATGGAATAATGAAGTTGAGGGATGAAGAGAGGCCCTGACATGTGTATTTTAGTTTTCCCTGATTAAAATCTTTCCTGGGCCAATTGATATGCCATAGAAAATGAGTTATCAGATAAGGCCACTGAATTAATTTTAGTTTAATTGTTACAATAAGGCTTTTCCGACTTACTCTAGCTCATCATCTACTTCCTCAAAACTTCCCAATGTTTATATTTGGCCCATATTTATCTTTATAACTCTAGATAAATCGGGTAGGATGATATTTTCAGACATGATTTAGTTTTCTCCTTAACATTTCTTTATGGTCTTTGCTCTGCTGCCAATTTAGTCATAATAATTCATTAGCTCAGGGAGGGATGATGTAAAAGAAAGCAGAAGTAAATCTCGGGCTTTTGGATTTCAAAAGCCTATCTCTCAAGAGAGTATAGGAAAGAAGTCAGAACATAAAAATAAATTTGAAAGGATATATGATTAGATGGAGGGCAGAGGTCTCCACCGTGGAGACTAGATTAAGAGTCTCTTGGCTGGGAATGAAAATGAGTCAGAGGAGAAGCAAAGTAAGCTGAGATATTGATGGATCCCTGAGAAAGACTCCATGGCCTCCTTCTCCCTCCACCATCCTGTGCCCAGTCTGAGGGCAGAGGCCACCTAGAGCAGAGAGCCAGTGTCTGAAGCCTCCCCGACTCACCAAAAAGCAACTTTAATTAAGACAGTGAGGTACTGACTTTGCAAATCCACAGACAGAGGTAATTGCTTCAAATCTTTCAGGGAGAAATCTTAAAGCTACATGGGAGATTTTGGGAAAAGAAAGCCTCATTTTCTGAGATCTGAGAATCCAATAGTCTATGCTGCCTCTGTTGCCAGATGAAAACCCAATGTTTCTGGGTTTTATTTTGTTTATAACCAAATGGGGATCATAAAGTGAATTTATGTTTGAGTACTTAAAAATATGATAAAGTTAAATCCTGTGAAATTTTCACAGAAAAGAAATATTCTTTATTTAATCATAGAAGTTATCTACCCACTTCCCCCTCATCTGGCCAAGTTGATCCCTGCATCATTTGACTTCAATTTCTTCTCTATGGAATCCATAGAGCCTGTGTTTTGTTTTCCTCAGTTACAGAACCATGACAGCTCAAATTGCAACTTTTTGAAAGAAGATAATTTTAAAGTTGTCTTTCTCAAATGGGTAAACTGCTGAGTGAAATTTGACAAAAATCAATTGAAAGATAATGGGATTATTCAATATTTTCATTGGAAGTGCTCGTCAGTATGATAAAGTAAGAAAGAGAAATGGAGATGTAAGACCCAGAGTTTCGGGTAGCAGGATTTTTATCTACAGAAAATATGAAAGAATCTACAACTTAATTAGAATCATTGAGTGAATTTCAGAAGGATGCTGGATACAAAATCAATATTGGGAGGAGTGGTTGGGACATGGATGTTCATAGCAGCACAATTCACAATAGCAAGACTATGGAACCAACCTAGATGCCCTTCAATAGATAAATGGATAAAAAAATTGTGGCATTTATACACAATGGAGTATTACTCTGCATTAAAAAATGACAAAATCATAGAATTTACAGGGAAATGGATGGCATTAGAGCAGATTATGCTAAGTGAAGCTAGCCAATCCCTAAAAAACAAATGCTAAATGTCTTCTTTGATATAAGGAGAGTAACTAAGAACAGAGTAGGGTCGAAGAGCATGAGAAGAAGATTAACATTAAACAGGGATGAGAGGTGGGAGGGAAAGGGAGAGAGAAGGGAAATTGCATGGAAATGGAAGGAGACCCTCAGAGTTATACAAAAGTACATACAAGAGGAAGTGAGGGGAAAGGGAAAAATAATACAAGGGGGACAAATGAATGTCAGTAGAGGGGGCAGAGAGAGAAGAAGGGAGGGGAGGGGAGGGGAGGGGGGATAGTAGAGGATAGGAAAGGCAGCAGAACACAACAGACACTAGTATGGCAATATGTAAATCAGTGGATGTGTAACTGATGTGATTCTGCAATTTGTATATGGGGTAAAAATGGGAGCTCATAACCCACTTGAATCAAAGTGTGAAATATGATATATCAAGAACTATGTAATGTTTTGAACAACCAACAATAAAAAATTAAAAAAAAATCAATATTGGCTGCAAACAATCTTATTTCTAATAACAGTAACCCTTAGAAAATTAAATTTTAAAAGTACTTCTTTTGTAAGAACATAAAACATTAACACCTAGGAATAAGTCTTACAAATAATGTGCATGACCTACAGAAAATTATCATCATCACTGAGATATATTACTGAGTTCCAAATAAAAGAAGGAAGGGATATATCATGTTACAAATTGTAAGAGTCAATACTGAGAAGAATATTACTTCTTCCGGTAGTGATCTGTGGATTTGATGCAATCCTAATTCCCGACAGGTTCTCTGTGCGCGCGCGCGCGCGTGTGTGTGTGTGTGTGGTGTGCGTGTGGTGTGCGTGTGCGTGTATAAACTGAGAGGCTGATTGTAGATTTACACAGCAGAGCAGAGGGCCAAGAGAGTTAAGGCATTTTTGAAGAATCAAGAGGAAGCATAGAATGCAAGTTTTCTTGGATCTCAGAAAATTAGGCTTCTGTTCCCCAAATTCACTTAGGATGTTACTTTGAGATTTTCCAATAAAGATCTGAAATACTTACCTTGGACCTCAAATCTGCAAACTCAGACTTTCCTACAAAGAATGAGGAGCTGAGGAGTCCCAGGAAACCTGAAGGCTGCGGTAGCGCTGTCCCTGGGTCACACCCTCATACACAGAGCTGGCTGCAGGTCAGGGAAGCCAGAGGAGGCTGGCGTCCCTCCCCGGGGTGTGCCAAGGCCACTGGAGGCTTGGGCTGCACCCTCTGCTGCCAACCTATTGGAACCCCTGTCTTCCACCCTCACTGTTAGACGCGTTTCTCCATCCCTGACCCATTCCAAACCTGCCTGGCTAGTTATGTGCTGCTGCTGCTGCTGCTGCTGTTGCTGTGGCTTCATGTTCTCTGTGTGCTTTCTCCAGCTGCACCAAAGTTGCTGGAAGTTGTTTGCCGACCCTCCATTGTTGCTTTTGGTCCGTGATACTCAGAGTCTGCTGTGAAAGCTAAAAATGTCTGGAAGTGCCATCTTAAGAAAACTGGGGCAGGAATTAAGCTGGCATGTAACTGGGACAGTTCCAAATGGGGACTTGGAGTTCTGTTCCAGTAGTAAAATGAGATGCTCTGCTATCTTTTCTGAAACATCCTGCTCTCCTGTATTGTATTTCATTTTGATTTCTTTACTCAAAGCACATTATCGACGTGGCAATGTCTTCCCAGGAAAGCCACTCCTCTGGAGTACAGAGATATCAGAGATGGCCTGTGGGACCACAGCGTTCGGGACGCTTAATCTGGGCAAGAGGTTGGGCTTT